AGAACGTTACGTGTCTCTGGGGGTAATGAATGCCGAGAGTGAGAGAAAAGAGATGCGAGCACGTTGACTCACACTCATTCTTCTGACCGATGGTGACTCATGATTTCTCTATTCAAGATGGTTCATTCAAAACTCAATTCACAGGATTTCACTGAAGATGAAATGTGATTGTTCTGAGTCTGACGCACTACAAAAGGACACTTGAACGCATCTCTCCTTCTTTGTTAGCTTGTTCACTGCAGTCAAACCAATAGCAACCGAGAGAGGAGTGTGCATTGGGGGACCCTGCTGGAATGAGCTGCCATGGCACTTCAAAGACCACCCTATCGCCTCCCTCCTCTATCTTCGCTCTTTCCATTCTGTCAGCAGTGACTCTAATGAATGCGAATTTGCCCACTGACTGAGTGGGAAAAAAACCCACTTGAGAAAACCTACTAGGTATACACATGGGTAAACAACATTGAAGGAATACCCCGGGTTTAATACAAATCCATCAACATCATACTGTCAAATACCACAGAAAATTATATCTACTCATCCCTCGGTTTGTAAAAAATACAGACTGACATCGATTTCAAAGGCCTAACTAATGGTTTTAAAAAGATAGTTCACCCAAAAATAAAAATTCTGTCACACTCTTGGAGTCATAGCGTTCCAAACCTGTCTGACTTTCATTCTTCTGCAGAACACAAAAGAAGATATTTTTGAAAGAACTGTTTTCATCCAAAACAGCGTTGGACCCCATTTACTTTAACTGTAAAGAAAAAAAAAAAATCAAAAAAATATTCTTTTTGCATTCTGCAGAAAAAGACATTAGAGTAAGTAAATGATGAGTTTTTATTTTAGGGTGAACTATCACTTTAAACTGTGGAATGTGCCATTTTCTGAATGCTATAGGTAGAAATGAATGGGTGACTGTGGTAAACACGATTTGTCAAACTTAATCTATAAAGACCGCTTCTCAAAATCCAGTTATTTCCTGATGAATGTACTCGCAAAAACACCATTCAGAATTTGAGGTCAGTAATTTTTGAAAGAAATAAATACTTTTATTCAGCAAGGATACATTAAATTTATCAAAAGTTACACATTTATGTTACAAAAAAACTTTGATCTTCCTATTCATCAATGAATCCTGTAAAAAGAATTGCATGAAAGTTTCCAGAAAAATATGAAGCAGCACAACTGTTTTCAATGCTAATAATAACAAGAAATGTTTCTTGGGCAGCAAATCAGCACATTAGAATGATTTCTGAAGGATCATGATGTGACACTGAAGACTGGAGTAATGATGCAGAATTCAGCTTTGCCATCAAAGGAATAAATTACATTATAAAATATATTAAAATAGAAAACAGTTATTTTAAATTGAATATAATATTAAAGCCTTGGTGAGCATAAGAGGACTTTGGATTTCTTCCAAAAAACGGTCATATTACTGAAGTACAATGAGTGTTAAACACGATTTCTTGATCACTTTAACATACACAAGTGTCCATTCTTGCATACACTTTAATCAGGCCATGAATTAAGGTTTCTTGTACCAAAAAAAGGCATAATATATTTTTTCGTGATCATTTCCACACCCCCACTCCCATAGAACTAAACAGTTTTTGCTACCTTTAAAACCACTATATGTAAATGACATCTGTTATGATCACATAACCTCCACATGCTAGCACAGTTTACACGTCGTTCATCAGGGCGAGACAAATTGCTGAATAGACATTGATATGCAAATGTGGTGATGGTGGTGCCATCATAGCCATGACCATTTACGATTCTGAGCCACTTTTGCAGCTTTGTTCCCAATAATGGTCTGTGTGGACTAGGAAGAAAGTGTATATCTTTGTATCAAACTCTTATTTTAACAGATCAAATAAGATCTCGCTTTCCATGTTCTATGTTTAATGTACACATACAAATGAAAGGCATGCTGGGATATAATCTGCCTGCTTGTGACAGAATCAGCTAATGTTAACTGAGGGGAATCCACTTCTCCTCATGCAACAAACCATTACACGACCACAGAAACTTGAGACACATGCAGCCTTAACAGCCTGCTCAGGAATCTGCCCTGAGCTAGTGCATTCTGGGTAAGGGAGGACACAAATGTTGCAGTGGCAGTTCTGAAAGAACAGTATCCTTGAGCATGGAACAATTAAATAAACCCTGATCCATTAGACATTAGTTATACGCACACACACAAGAAGAGAACTGAGAAAGAGATGGATGGAGAGAAAGAGAACATTGCATAACCAAAGATAACACAATAACACAATCCCAAGCAATTCAGCAGCAATTTAGAGAAAGAAAAAAGAGCTGGAGGGATAACAAATATTTTATAACTATAAGATGAACAAAGAAGCGACAGAGAATGTTCTATTCAGCAGCAATTTAGGGGTAAAAGGGTAATGACTGGTGCATTACATAAATAAAAGACATTACATTAATTGTGTCAGAGGTCACAAGTGAAGCACACGAGAGAGGGTGTGCGAAAGAACTTCTCACCCTGTTCCCCGCTTGAGAAAGGTCATGCAGAGCGTGTTGTGGACTGCGGAGGGAACATGATGTGAGTGCAGAAAGGGTGTCTGTGTGGGGAGAGAGAATGAAAGAGAGAGAAACAGAGGAGGAGATAGAAAAGAAGAAAGGTGTTTCCTCACTGAGCTGATGAAATCCAATCCTATTTTTTCGTTAAACATGTATTCCTGAAGTCAGTCACCGGATATATCTATATATTACTGAAATATAAGTATTTAAAAATATTCACAACATTTAAACATTAATCAAACACTATTAAATTAATTTAGCAAAATCGAACAACTAACTGGGGGTCCGAGGAAAAATGGGGGTCCGAGGAAAAGTTTAGAGAAAAACAATAAATCTAAATACTAAAATAAGATTAAACTAATATAAATATATTTAAACTAAATAAATTAAACATGATTTAAATAAATGTAAAAAAAAGAAGAAATTATCAAAAAATAAAAATGATTAAAATAAACTCAAATTAATTTAAATAAAATAATGTACTAGTGATGCAACATAATAGAACTAATATTCTCCAAATAATATTATACACATTGATAATACTAATTTTCACACTATTAATTTGATCTTTATACATTTATACTCCTTCGCACAAAGAAGATCATGTTTGGGGGTCTGTGGTATCTAAAGGATTGAAAACCTCTAATCAAACTAACCAGAATCTACCCACATCAGACTAAAAAAACAACACTTCTGCCTGGTTTCACAGACTGGGTTTAGTTGAAGCCAGGATTAGGCCTTAGTTCAATTAGGACATTAAGTAGCTTTTATAAACATGCCTTAGAAAAAAACATTACTGGTATGCATCTTGAGACAAAACAATGGCACTGACATATTTTAAGATATGTTGCTGTCAGTTAAAATAGCTCAAACATGCATTTTAATCTGAGACTAGGCTTAAGGCTTAAGCCTTGTCTGTGAAACTGGGCATACAATTCCAATGTTAACCACTGGTCTTCAAACGCTAGGTTAGGAACACACTTCATTGATCCATGCTCTTTAAAGCTGCATGAAATAAAGATCAAATTGACCCACACTAGCCCCTAAACCAATGCGCTTTTATTATGCCACTTTAAGTGTTGGTAATTGGATTGAGATATAGCTGAACCAGCCCCTGGGGGATGGGAGCTTGTGTCAGTGCATTGAAGAACAAATCTGGAGCTCAGAGAGCATATCAGAGGTCCACACTCATTTCCAATACAGCACCAGCTGAATATATAATCCAAATTGTGAGTGAGTTGAGCAACATTGCCCCCTTCAGCTCATTGTTTGTCTGCCTGACATGATTTTTTAAATAACAAATCTGGGATTACAAAATGTTGAAAATGTATCAAGAAACCAAGGTTCCTTGTCTAGGCCAACCAGATGATAGGAGACCATTCTTGAGCTTCTCTTTGTGATAAGTGCTTGTGAGTATTTTTCATATTGCTAGGTTCCTGGGGTTACATGCTTTTAAAAAGCTGGAACCGCAAGGAAGATCATAGGTTCAAAGTGGGTATCCTGGGATCATGTTACTTGTTGGCATGTTGGACATACAGGAACTCCTTACAGGGTTTGAAGTTCAAACCCTGTAAGGAGTTCCTGTATGTCCAACATGCCAACAAGTAACATGATCCCAGGATACCCAAAGGGGGACGTCCCTGAAGGAACTGTACTGTCAAGCATAACCGAATAACCGATATTAGGAGAATTAAAATAGAAGAATAAAACGGAAGTTGCAAAAGCTTCCGGTTTGTATTTCCACAGCATGAAGGTAAGATCTTACGGATTTATGAATGAACAGCTCGCTTTAAAATCTTCCCGGTTAACTGACATTTGTTATGACATCCGCTTTAAAGATTTCAATGCTCATGATAACTTTTGTTAACACTACAATAAGTAAATCCACTTCACCAACGAATTACTCTTTGACAGCGATGCCATAGAAATATACATTGCTAAAGCAAAAAAGGAAATTCAAAGTCAAAAACAAAATTCTAAAGATGGCTGCACTTGTTTCTCTCGCGCATAAGGTCTTGATTTCATGGTGACTTTAACTAAAATGCAGCTTCTGTTAGCAACCTAAATTTAACCATAAACAACCACCACATAAGTCTTTGCTATGCAAAGATTAAGATAAATAACTCGGGATCCATGATTGAGCCACATTATATCAATTTGCTCATTAAAGATGGATCCAGTGAGTTTTTGCTAACATTTGTCTCTTATTCGTATCAACAGCACCAGTGCACAGCACAGCACTGTAATGTCTTTTCGGGAAAGTGGTATTTCTTTTCAAAAGGTAAAATTGGCAACAAATAAATAGCTGGGTGCGCCAAAAAAAAAAAACACAAAAAGTGCAGTAGCGCCCCCTACTGATCATATGTATTGTACCCAATAAAACAATATAAAATATTACTCATATTGAACATTTCAAATTGTAAATGTAGTTTTTGGACTGTCTAACTTACCCAGCATTAAAATGTTTTCTTCAGATCCCACATGCTGTTTGAGCAGATGTCCAAATTTAGTGAAGTCTCCGAACCACTCGAAGCTCTCCTCCGTCCGGTACCGCTCATTCCAGTAATCCACATCTTTATATCTGGCGTTAGAGTCTGGCAAATATTCCATCCTTCTTTAAAATATAAACGAAAGTCCTACTGTTATTACATACAGGCGTGTTATTAAAATATTCTTTGCTGACTGTCATCTCAACTATTGTGACGGTTTGTATAACGTTATCTGTATTGTCTGATCTGTAAACATTTTGCATGTTGGTTCATAAACACTGATAGTTCAATGCGGTTAGCTGGCAAACTATAAAATAAACATCGGTATCCAGAGGCTCTTACCAGCTCAATATATTTATCAGTTTTAATATGAATTAAAACATGTGCGTCTAAAAGTGAATAAAAGAATGGGCGAATTTTTTTTGTCTGACAAGACAACCCACATGTGTTTCTTTTTTTCATGCACTCTAACCTCGTGTGGTCATCGTGACGCCAGAAGTGGGAAATTAATGCAATGATGTCAAAATAAAAGTTTAACTAAATGCAAGAGGTTGTTATTGGGAAATAAACTATTTTATGTACGTTTTTATGTATTTTATGTACAAAATTACCACTGCTTCATTGTAGAGTTTCGTTGTAGGTGCTTCCAATCACAATCAATCGACACTATCATCATTTAGTTTCCAAACTGCCCATAAAGTCTATTGTCAGCCTTTCGATGCTAGATCGTCTCTCTTTAGAAGCATTCATCCGCACTGTTTGCAGCTTGTCACTGTTTTATTTGCAGTCATTGTTATTCTGATGGTCATTGATGATGATGGTCCTGTGAAGAAAACTCATGAAAACCTAAGAGACTTGGTAAATCGTTGATATCGTGATTTAAATCGTTCCAAAAACGAGACAGAGGGACTAAAATAATTTAAATGTTCAAGAATAAAATAAAACAAATACAACTAGAACAAACTCAATACATTAAATAATGCTATATAAACATGAACTAATCATAGAATGCAGACAAGACACTCCAACATAAGTGAGATGATTTAGCTGCAGCAGAAGAGATTTATGGAAATGTATCTAGGCTAATTTTTACTTATAAAACATTATTTTTCCATAAATGTATACTTTCAAAAATATTTTTTTTATTTTTTACTTTTTACAAAATATTTGTTTGTTTGTTTTTACAAAATTGTTTCTTTCTTTAATTCTTTAAAATCTTTAAAAAATCGCAAAATCACTCAATTATCGCAGAGTAGTGTGGCGCCCTCTACTGATGACTTAAGCACTTGTGAGTGGGCGGAGTCAGTGATGACGTACTTCCTTTGGCGCGCTGTGTGAAATTCAAAGCTGCGACTCAAACCGTTCAGTCAATCCAGTCAACTTTCTTTCTTCGGGTTAGTTCATCTGATTAGGAGTTGGTCGGAATAAATCGGTCGTTTTGCACGGTAAGTTTTCTGATATGTGATATTACTTTTTTTAACCGTGGAAAGTGTCGTTTACTAAGAAAAAAGCTAGTTTTGTCTGTTTATACTGTGAGTTAGCGTAGCATGTTAGCTTAACGTTATCCTGTCAAACAAAACAAACGTTTTGCTTCAGTTTTATCAAATAAAACGCGTTAATTTCTTTATTTTGCGATTATGGTAAACGAGGTAATAAATTAATTTACAATGACCTTTTGTAAGACGTAAGTTACAGTGTAAACGTGTTTTTTTTCTGCTCCTGCGTTGTAACGTTAGTGACTTTGGTTCCTACGGATAAACATTTATCTTATATTCACTGCTTGTTGTTTAGGCGTGCAGAGATGTCGTGGGATTTTATCGTGCCGGTTTGTTTGGATGATCTCGTGAAGTCTGGTGCTGTTAACCAGTATGTGGTTCAGGATGTGCTGTCTGCTAAACAGCTCCCCTCTCACATCAACAGTAAGTGCTGCTGGGCTCTTCTAATCTGTATACATATCACTATTTCTGCTCTGTAGTGGAACTGGAATAATTACTTTTTTCTGTCTCTTACGAAGGCTTTAAAGCAGCACTGAGAAGTCAAGGGTCCCTGTGCATCCTGGAGCATTTTGACACGGCATACAGTGTTTTGCAGTAAGTGTGGACACACATTCCCATAAGTTAATTTTTAGATAAATTAGTGTAAAGTTGATTAAAGTTTTGTTTAAAGTTAATGTTTTGGTAACAGTTAAACCTGCAAACACATTTTTTTCTTGGCCAAATTAGTATTAATACAAATTAACTAGGGTTGGGTATCAATTGAAATGTAAAAATTCTGATCCCAATTCGAAGTCAAACATTTTGATGTTTCATATGTATTTGAATTGAGATGTTTCATGATTTTCATAATCTGTTGCAGCGAAATAATACCATGAACAAAACAAAAAGCATCCTAAAGAACAACTAACTAATTAACTAGGGCCTGGGTTTGCATACACACAATGCATGACAAGAAACCACTATGGGTATAAAACTGATCTAAATGCATAACAGATGGGTGGGGGGTAGCTATGTTATGAGCCCTGTTAAACATTGAAGGGTTAGTTCACCCAAAAATTTTAATTCTGCCATTTTAATTACTCACCCTTGTGTCGTTCCAAACCCGTAAGACTTTTGTTCATAGTTGGAACACAGATCTTTTTGATGAAACCTGGGAACTTTCTGTCCCTCCATCGATAGCTACGCAACTACCACTTTGACGCTTCAAAAAGTTCATAAAACAAGTGGTTTTTGGTTCTTGCAGAAGCTAAAAAATGTCCAATCATCACACACAAAAATGAACCTCATTGGTTCTCGCACATCAAGCGAACATGCTTGAGCTTTCGTTTACCACAACTGATGTGTGAGTTGATAAATCAAATGTTTGTGAATAAAAGTTTAAATTCAATCTGTTTATCATATATTTGTATTGTCTCCAGAAATTTTGGACTAAACTGCTCAGTTCTTATGGATTAGTTTTATGATCTCTTTATGAACTTTTTAAAGCGTCAAAGTGGCCGTTGCTTAACTGTCAATGGAGGGACAGAAAGCTCTCAGATTTCATAAATATCTTAATTTGTGTTCCAACGATTATTGAAAGTCTTACAGGTTTGGAACGACATGAGGGTGAGTATTAATGACAATTTTCATTTTTGGGTGATCTATCGCTTTAACCCCACGACTTGACTAAGACGAATAATTTTCTGATTGCATTTAGACATTGTCGCACAGTGGATGTGGCGGTGAAAGAAGACATGCTGGAGTTGCTGATACAAGGTTGGTATCTCTCATAATCAAATTAAATAATTCTAGTTATGTTCAAAGAATCAAATATACATTTCCAACGATGTATCACAATGCTGTCTTCTCAGTGGTCAGGGGCCTGTCGGTTTCCCTGCCGACTCTCCTCCTGTCGGGCTCTCTGTCAGCTGTGGACCGCAAACAGCAACTCAACGCTGTGAAAATGAGTGTTTTTCTGCTATGCAAACTCACAGAAACACTTGAGAGCGACTCATACAGGGAGACTATCGTCACAGCACCCAGCAAGGTACAGCTGAATGTTATCAAGTTTTTCATTAGTTTATACTATGCCCCATGATGAGAACAAGGCAAATATGAGCTTATTGGCTGGGATCTTGTGTTCTCTTGCTATCTGATTGGTGGGTAATCTTGGCAGAGCAGTGGAGATTTGCTGCGCTGCTGTAAGGGCCCACCCATATTGATGCCAGCTGTCACTCATAATACAATTCTCCTTTAGAAATGGGCATTTGTCGCTGATTTGACAGCTTACAGTGTTGTGTGTTTGAGTATGTCCCTGAATGTGTGTGTAAATGTGTCAGTTAGCAAAGTCACATCTCCTAATGAGCCAACCAGCTGTGAACGTTTTCTTTGGTAATCTGAGGGCAACAACTGTTGCTTCTGAGTTCGTTGATTTTGTGTATAAAATATTAAACGTCTGTTTCTTTCAGGGTCGTAAGAAGGATAAAGGTGCCGGAAAAGGTCTCCTGCAGTGGGACAGTGAGAGAGAGACAGTTCTTCAGTGTTTGACTCAACTGCTGCAGCTGGACATTCGTTCTCTGTGGAGTCTGTCTCTAGTGGAGGAGGAGTTTGTCAGGTAACTGTCTTCCTCTTAAACTGTCACTCACCCTGGCTCTGTTTAATCTTTTTAAACTTTCTGTGTCTTCATTAATCACAAATGTCAGTTTTTGTTTGTGCAATGTTTGTCGGTTTATGTAGCTGTGTGACATGCTGTTGCTATAAACTCCTGGAAAACCCCACCATAAGCCACATGAAGAGCAAGTCCACCAGAGACGCCATCATTCATGTGCTCGGAATCATGGTGAAGAAATACAATCACATGTTGGGTGGGTTTATATGCACATCACACACCCATGAGTGGGTTTGCAATGCTGTAGATGTTGAGCTGAGTGTGTTGTCCTGAATATGCTCTCTCTGTCTTGTACAGGAGCATGTGTGAAGGTGATTCAGCTCCTGCAGCACTTTGAGCAGCTGGCGTCAGTCTGTGCACAAGCTGTGGCTGCCTGGAGCACAGAGTATGGGGTCAAGGCCATCGTTGGAGAGGTCATGAGGTGAAATTGAAGTCTTTTTAGTGTTCTTCTTATACTTGAATGGCATTACTGGGTATATAGATTGTGCTTTACAGTCTGATTCGACCAGTATTTGGTTACAAATAGAAATAAAATTGATTAGTATAGTCAATAGCAATAGTTCTCTACCTTTTTGACTCCATGGCCTCCTTTGTCGAAGACAATATTTGAAAATCCTTCTATATAAACTGATGTGTATGTATTTCAGAGAGATCGGTCAAAAGTCGAGTGAGGAACTAGCTAGAGAAGCTTCAGGTGTGAAGGCTTTCTCCAGCTTTCTGTCTGAACTCAGTACTCTGGTACCCGAAACCATGATCCCCAACATCAGTGTTCTCCTGGCTCATCTGGAAGGAGAGGTACAGTCGCATATTTTCTCTATTGCATTGCTTCTGTCATTGGATTTTTGCCCAGTGATGAGACCAAGGCGAATATGAGCCCACTGAATTTGAGTCTGAGCTCTCCTGTGTTCCTATTGGCTGGTAATCTTGGCTGGGCAGTGAAGGTTTGCTGTCTTGCTGTAAGGGCCTGCCTACATTCAATAAGCCTCTTCCTCTAAAGTTCCTATCCTTTGAAGATATAGGGGAGGAGAAAGGAGGGGGCTTACAGTTGTTGTTTTTGTGTGTTTGTGAGGGTCACAGGTTGAGTCTCAGTTCTCTGGAATAATTCTGTTGGCGTTGAGCTCTCTCTTTGGTAATCTGAGGGCAACCTTTAAAGAAAGTTTTTTATTTTATAGCTTATTTATATTAATGCATTTAGCAGCTGCTTTTATCCAAAGCAACTTACAATTGTGGAGCATGAGCAGTTTGTCACAGAGCCAGCAATGTTTGCAGAATACAATGCATCTTTATAAGAAAGTAGGAAAAACGCTAGAGCAAAGAAGTGTTAACATGTTGTTTGTGTTTGGACAGAGTCCGAGTCTGCGAGTGGCTGTGTGTGAGGTTCTCGGGGATGTTCTGGTCCGGGTTCTGTCTGGTGATAAGCTGGATGATTCTGCTCGTGCTGGCCGAGATCGCTTTCTGGACACACTGCAGGAGCACATCCATGATGCCCATTCACATGTCCGAGCACGTGTGCTGCAGGTCTATGCACGCATTGTCAACAGTAAGGTGAGTGGCTTGTGGGGTTTCCTCCCCTTCATGATAACAGAAATCAAGGTGTTTTTTTCTTGAGATATATTATTCCTCTTCTTCCTCTGACAGGCCTTGCCACTGTGCAGGTACACTGAAGTTATGGAGCTGACTGTCGGGCGTCTGGGTGATAAGTCTGTCCATGTGTGTAAGAGTGCCATCCAGCTGCTGGCTGCCTTCATTGCTCATAACCCTTACAGCTGCAAGGTATAAACATGCTCAGTTAAAACATCTGAGAACTTTCTATTCAAAGAATAGCACTACTGTTTTCAACATTGATAGATCATGGATGATAGATAGGATCATGTGACACCGAAAACTGGAGAAATGATGCTGAAAATTCAGCTCTGCCGTCACAGGAATTAATTTTAAAATATATTAAAATAGAAAAGCTATTTTATTTTTTTCATATTTGACTATATTATTTTTGACTGTATTGAACAAAATAAAAGCTTTGGTGAGCATAAGAGACTTCCTTAAAAAAAACTTCCTTAAAAAAATCTTAACTCAAACTTTTGAGCAGACTTAATCTGTTTACAGAAATTAAATATACCTGTGTTTGTTATTTCTGTGTTAAGTTGAGCAGTGTAGACCTAAAAAAGCCCCTGGATAAGGAGATTGCCAAATTAAAAGAGATGAGAGAGAACCAGAAAGAGCAAGTGCCTGGTATGTTGCTTTTATAATTGAATTGTTCCTTTCAGTCTTTAGCTGGTCTCTATTACTATCAATTTGTGTCCAGCTGTAAGATTATAGCTTTGTGTTTGTAGTTGCAGTCATCACAGCAGCTGATCTTTGGGATGCAATGAAGCCTGAGGTGGAGATGACTGTGAAAGCACAGCTGGAGCCTGGAATTGAGGAAGAAGAGGAGGAGGAGGAGGAGACTGGGGGAGAGGAGGAAAGAAGCGACCGGGACACTGCTGTCCAAATTGCACAGCTTCTCCGGGAAAGTAAATACAGGTACATGTGAACTAACTAACATTCTCTCATACCCTTATTTCTGCACACAGACATGCAATGTGTGGTGTTTAACTGTGTGTAGGAAGGCAGTTGGTCTGTGTATGAGGGCACACTCCCTGTTCCCAGAGTCATCATTCTTCTCAGATCTGGCTGACTTAAATGCAGAAAAGCTGATCAACACACTCGCAACACTTTTCAAGGGTATGTTTTTTGGTACTTTGAATGGTCTTCTAAATAACTTCCATTTTAAAGCATCATGCTGAGGAGCACGATAGTGTCAGACTGAAACTTGTGCATCGTCTCACCTCCCTAGATAAGATGACAGGGTTCCTAGTCCAAATAAAAACATGGTGTGCATCTCTCTCCTCAGGGCCAGAGCAAGAGACACCTGAGGCTGTGACGAGCGACGCTCCACTCACCCCACAGAAAGAGGATGGAGGCAATGAAGGGAGAGAGAGTGACCTCAAGAAGCAGGAGATGTTGGTTCAGTACTTGAAAGACACAGAGAGCTTTGCTCTACAAGTGGAAAGAGCCATTGCTGTCATTAACAACATGCTGTACTGGAAAACTACTACAGGTAATTACTATGAAGTACCCACTTTTTTTCTCAATAATTCCTCAAATATACGTCACAATACAGAAGAAAAGATCTGTTGCTACTTCTGATTCATCGAGACATTCTATATATATATATATATATATATATATAAGTTGAAAATGTTTAGTTTTCTCTGACTGGTCTCCCTCTCCCAGTTGTGCAGGAGGCGGTGCAGTTCTGTGTCACAGCATTTGAGTTTAGTGTGGCTGACTCTGTGTGTGGAGTCAGAAAGATGCTGCCTCTGGTCTGGTCCACTGATGTTACAATCAAGGACGCCATTATCCAGGCCTACAGGCGGCTGTACCTCAACCCTAATGGGGACAACACCAGGTATGCAAACATTTTGGTTTGCTCAAGGCTAAAAGAGTACAATTTAATATACTGTAGCTCAAATGGCTTTTTGTGTTTGTCCATCAGAGCGAAGGCTCAGACTTTAGTGGACAATCTGTCAGAGCTGATGGTCGATGCTTCATTGGGGACAGTCCAGTGTCTGGAGGAGATTGTGAGTGTCTTTTAACCCCTCATTTAAGCAGTCACTCCCACACTTTATTCTTTTGACAGTTGTTGTTGGTGTTTTTTTCTTGGTGCAGGTTCAGGAGTTTTTCAGCAATGAGAGTGCCCTGCAGACTTCAGTGGTACAGGTTTTGTGGGAGAGGTTCTCTGGTAAACGAGAGACTAAAGCACTTCATAGGAGAGCTGCAGTGCTACTGCTGGGTATGGCAGCACGGTGAGACCTTCAAACTCTTTATACTTCCTGGATGTGTTAGTCAATCATTCAGTTGAACTGATTTAATGTCACAGCATAATAAAAATGTTGCCCAATGATGAGACCAAGGCGAATGTGAGCTCAGTGGGTAAGAGTCAGAGCTCTCCTGTGTTCCTGTTGGCTGGTAATCTTGGCTGGGCAGCGGAGATTTGTTGCTTTGCTGTAAGGGCCTGCCTACATTAAGTTAGTTCTTCCCCTCAAGCTCTCCTTCAGAGAAATGCAGGAGAGAGATGGGAAGGGTAATCAGTGTGTGTGCGTGTGTCTGGGGCGACATGGGTCGAAGCTCTGTTCTCTCTAATGTCCAATGAGCTATGAGCTGGTTCTTTGGTAATCTGAGGGCATTCTTGTCTTTGACATACTGCTTAAGAAATGTAGTATTTTGAGGCATGGTGAACTACTTGTCTAACTTTTTTTTTTTTTTTGTGCGTCTTTAGTGCTGAGAGGGAGGTGATTCTGAGTAATTTGGACACACTCTGCTCTGTCGCTCTGGGTGAGAAGGTTGCAGAAGATTATCTGCTGGCTCGAGACACACTCATCACCATCGTTAATATAACAGACCATGTGAGGGTATGTATACACTGTATATACTACCCTTGAAAAGATTGGAGTCGGAAAAATTTTTGTTTTAAAATCGGAAAATCATAAGTCTCTTATGATCACCGAGGAAGCATTTTCTTCTAAATACCAGGGTTGTCACGATTCTCCAAATCCTCGATTCGATTTCATTTTCGATTCTAAGGTCACGGTTCGATTCTCGATTTTTTACATTTACTTTTTTTTTAAAGCCGAAACCGGCCAATCAGGATGTTCTCTGTCTTACATGCGCTTCATGAGGCACACACGCAAGGTCTCTCGCTCTCTGCCGTGCGCGCGCTATACGGTTTGGACAGGAGCACAGTTTTTTCTGTCTCACATGCGCGCTCTTGCTCGCTCACTCTAGATTCCGGGAGATTCTAACTAATTTGCGTGCATCAGGGAGCCGCTATCAATATGCGGGAGACTCCCGGAACTTCCGCGAGACTTTGGATGTCTGCAAACTGTGGCTTTTTTGAAGCGCGAACGTTATCAACATTACTCACTGGAAATCCCCAAAAACGTCCACACCTGCGACTTCAATGAAAGAGGAGGGGTTCACGTTCTGTTGATGGGACTCCTGCATCTGTACTTGCCATACTATCTTTTGAATGGCTGTAGCTAAGTTAGAGGAGGATGACCATAGACTTGCAGCACTTCAACACGCCGTGTTTTTTCCGCTTGGCAAGCCGAACGGACGTGACATGGGGGCGTGGCAGTATCGACGATTGTGAATAAATTTCGATCGATTTCGATTTAAAATCGAAATCGTGACACCCTTACTAAATACACAGTTAACTAGTATTGTGAAATATATTACAATTTAAAATCATGGTTTTAAGATATTTTATAGTGTGATTTCTTCCTGTGATGGCCAAGCTAAATTTACAGAAGCAATTACTCCAGGCTTCAGTGTCACATGATTCTAATATGCTGATTTGTGTGTTAAAGCAATCCAAGGGTGTCCCCTTCAGGCTTCCAATGGACCACCATCTCTTCAGCTGTCTGTCCCAGGCCATTGCTGATGGTGTGTTCTTTTAGTTTTTTTGGTGTTTACACCTCGTATTGGCTTTTGTCTTGGGTGATCTGATCACAAGAGTTGGTTAACTCTTGCTTTGCCACAATCACCCAAACTGTTGATGCTGGATGTAACATGGTCTCTCTCATTTTCCTCTTTCTCATCTGATTTCTCTTTCATACATATCTCCTGTTTGGTAACGGCATTCTTCATTTGAACAGGAGTAGTCCAGTCTGACCCCCATTGGCAGACCTTCATGGAACAGGCTGTCCGTCTCATCTACTTCTTAGCAGAGTCACCTGACCAGCTGTGTTCCCATCTCCTCCAACGCTCTGCTCATCTCCTATTGGAACAAATCACAGAGGGCAGAGAGTCCACCCAAACACAACTGCAGGAAGGTGTGTCCCAGGGCTCTGAGGAACAAGGTAATGTGGACATGAGATGTAACTTTTTGCATAATTTTAGAAAATGTTTAGGGTCATTAGATTTTCAAAAGAAAATCTTAGTGCTTATTCAGCAATGAGGCATTCAACTGATCAAAAGACTTTTACATTGTTACAAAAAAATTCAAAATTAAATTTCTATTCAAAGAAAGTTTCCACAAAAAGAAGGTTCATGTGATGCTGAAGACTGGAGTAATGATGTTGACAATTCCGCTTTGCCATCAAATTAATAAATTGCATTTTAAAAAATATTAAAATTGAGAATTTTTTAAATTGTATTAATTTTTCAGAATATTACCATTTGTGATAAAAAAACATGCAGCCTTGGTAAGCATAAGAGACTCAAATGTTTGAGGTCAGTAAGATTTTCTCATTCGTTTTCTAGTGAATTGTGTGAGCTTGGCCCAGGTGCTGTCACTGTGTGGAGCTGTGGCCTTCTGGCAGGTATCTCACCTTGAGAGGAGTGTCAGCTCTGAGCTACGGAGGAGGAGAGGACAAAAGGAAGAAGAGGAGGAGAAAGAGAATGCACCTGCCAACAAAAAGGTTAACGAAGACAGGCCCCTGTTTGGTTGTTACCTGTTTTCTGCATTATCATATTGAAGTGTTGATCCATTATAATGCTGCTGACTGATTTGTGCCTCTTTTGCTAGGCGGCTAATGACAGTTGTGTGGAAGAGGAGCTGGGGCTAGTTGGCGCTTCAGCTGAGGACACTGAAGCCGAGTTTATCCGCAAGATCTGTGAGACTGAGTTATTAGCCGGTGAGCCCATCTAATGAAACAAATTTGACTTAAGTCCTCATAATTGTTGTTTATTGAAGGATTTACCTGCTTGACAAAGCACTAATCCCTGTTGCACTGTGATATATTATATATATATATATTTTTTTTTTTTGTAGAAGGGAACATGTTGAGTGCATTTCTGCCTCTGCTGGTGAAAGTTTGCAGTTCTCCAGGCAAATATTCCCACCCTCAACTCACCACTGCTGCCTGCCTGGCTCTGTCACAGTATATGATGATCAGGTATTTATATTATGATATTTTACACTAAAATTTATATATTTGCGGCTGGTAAGTTGTCAATTTTTGAAATGGCTAAAAAAAGCCAGTATTAATAATTTGATTTTAAGAATTCCTTGAAGGGAAGCTTCAAAATAACAGCATTTATTGGAAATACAAATCTTTTGTAACATTGATTGTCTTTACTGCCAAAAATTTTTAACGTATTATGTTGTATAATATTTGCTTCTTTAGTCAAGCAATATTAACATCTGTCTTTCTCTAGTCCTCCTGTTTGTAAAGACAATATCAGGCTGCTGTTCACGGTGCTGGAGAAATCCCCACTTCCTGTTGTTAGAGCCAACACAATTGTTGCTCTTGGTGACCTAACAGTCCGCTTTCCCAACATCCTGGAACCCTGGACGCCCAACCTTTATGCCAGGTAGCTCCAAGCCAAAAGGTCTTTCATGAATTTCTGTCTGATAAACAACTGGTTTTGCATAATTGGTGGTTCCAGAAAGAACAAGTAGCGCTTCTGTTCAAGCGACAGTGTGGAACACGAGTTATCTCTTCCACTTTAATACAACTTAGCACAAAAAACATACATGAACATCAGAAGATATGTTGAAAGATACAGTACAACTTACTGAAATGAACCATGTCTCATGTAGTCGCCTAATCAGTGTTTCAACTATCCAAACACTTCAGTAAAACAGCTTGTGAACCATGTGTCAATTCATTAGTTAGCTTAAAAACACTAGAGGAGCTTATTTACTGTTAATTATGTATGCTTGAATAAATTTGTCAAGTGTTTATGAAAACTACCTTATGAGTTGAATATAATAGCTGTTAACTTAAACCTCTAATATTATAGAGCATCGGCAAATATCATTCTGAATAATCAGCTATCAGACCCGAGTATTTAGTATCGGTGCTATAGTTGAAATGTTTATTACTGTGGTGATCAGTATTGTAACTGATTTGTCTTAAGGTTGAGTGATGAAAATTCATCTGTGCGTCTGACCGCCATCATGGTTTTGACGCAGCTGGTGCTTAAGGACGTGATGAAGGTCAAAGGTCAGGTTAGTGAGGTTGCAGTGCTGCTGCTAGACCCTGAGCCACACATTGCCAGCCTCGCTCTCAACTTCTTCAACGAGCTCTCTGCAAAGGTAGCTTTTCCACTCCAGCTCTGCTGTCTCTCTCTCATATCCCCCTCATAACTCTGAAAACAAGAAGTCCCAATTATAATACTCTGCTTATATCTTCAGGACAACGCCATTTACAACCTGCTTCCAGACATCATCAGCCGATTATCTGATCCTGAGCGTGGAATGAAGGAGGAGGATTTCAACACCATCATGAAGTGAGATATCGTTAATGCTGCTATGGCAGTTTCATTTATTCTACATGACAAATCACTTCGATTTATCTTTCTCTCTCTCTCAGACAACTCTTTTCCTACATCACTAAAGAGAGACAGACAGAGAGTTTAGTGGAGAAGCTCTGCCAACGATTCAGAACTGCAAAGTGAGTATCGGACACAATGTACAATTCGTCTTTCCGCATAACCTTAATAGAGCAGCATTTCTGTTGTAAGATTGGGCTGCTTTATGACATGATTAGTCTGAATCTCCCTCTTATGTGTAACCTGTTCTGTCTACAGGACCGAGCGTCAGTGGGCAGATCTGGCCGTCTCTCTTTCCCTGTTGTCTGTGTGTGAGCGAGGTTTCAAGAAGCTGCAGGAGTGCTGGGACTGTTACAGTGATAAACTCACTGAGTCTGGAGTCTATCAGCCTCTCCTGTCCATTGCGGCAAAGCTCCGTAGAAGAGCAAAACCACAGTTTAAGGTACTACAATTGCGAATGTGTGGTGGCAAGTGTATCCGCACAGGGCATTTATCATGACCGGTTGCTGTTTGTTCTAGTATGCTGAAAGTAGCTGTTTGTTTAGGCACAGGTTGAAGACTACGAGAAGCGTTTGACGGCTGTTCACACTAAAGGGTTGGAGAATGTGGAGAGCGAGGAGAGAGAACAGCAGACAGGAGACACACAGAGCCAAAACTTGCATACGCCACAGCCACTCAAGAGTGTGCGCAAATCCACACGAGGTGAAGGTTCAAGCTAATTGTTCACAAACATACAATAAATAATTCTATTATAAAATGAATCTCATTGTGCATCTCCCTCTCCTTCAGGCCGTGGTAAACCAAAATTGGATGACAGTGATCTTGTAACCCCAAGAATATCTCGTTCTCGTCCCAAACCTGCCATCACCTTCACCAGTGATGAAGAGGAAGAGGGTCAGTTACTTTCATATTGTTTTTTTTTTTTTTATCTCTTGATTGTTTAGCAGAGCTCTTATTAACAGCTTCATTCGGAATTTTTTTGCAGATGCTGTCATGGCTGAGAGTGAGACTCCTAAAGTGACGACACCCATCGCCCGCACACGACGCACTCGTCTCAGACACTGAGCACTCTTTTTGATTTTATTTTTCAGAATTTTTTTTAATACTACATCTTATTTTAAACGTATTATGTCTGACTTTTAAATGTTTAATATTTTAGTTGTCACCAGTATGGTATAATCTCTAGGTATTTTATTAAACGTTTTTAAAACACAAAAATAGCTCTGAATGTTTGTTGCATATAATTATTGTCCTTTGTTTTTGTTTTTTATGTAAGTGCTTTTAAAATGAGTTTTCACACATGTTGAAGGTTTGCACTTATTAACTAAAATTTATAAATTAGCATGTGCTGTCACATTTACATCCGGTTATTCTTTGTTTTAAGGCGTTACAAGTGGGACTTTAGTTTTGTAGACGGTCATTGCTACTAATCCGAAGAGATTAGTGTCTGTTTTCACGGAGCTGAACTATGTCTGGACAGCTTTTATTGGTTCTGCAGTGCTTCCATTTGTCTTTTCTAGTTTTATAGGACGCACTTTCATTTTTAGAAGTTTATTGCAAAGAATGGGAAAACCTTTAAAGGAAACTAAAATAAGATTATGGTCCGTGTGAAAGTTCCAGCTGTGTGAGTAATGTCGGCTCGGCTGGTAGAAACGACCTCAAAGCGGTAATTTTGTAACGTCGAGTCCACAGTTAAAGGCTGATAATGAGTTTGTATGTGCTTCGCAAAACCCTTTTTAAATGCTGTCTGAAATACGCCAACAAAAATGAAATGTATGAGCGAGGTTATTGGCTACAAATGTGCAGATTCAAAACATCTGTACCAAAAAACTTCTGCGATTATGAGAGCATGAGACGGGATTACAACATTCAAATTCCTCCGCAGTTTAACTTTGCCAAAGATGTGCTCGAGCAGTGGGAAACAAAAGAAAAGGTAATTTAAGAAATGTATTAGTTCTTCTGGTGTTCTTATGTTCTATTTTTACTTAAAGCGGGATATTTTTTATTCGAAAGAAATTTTATAGTAGTAACCTACAAAACATTTCAGGAGGACATTGATAATACACGAGAGAGAGAGAAAAAACAGCCCAAATTAGAAAACAGGCAGTTCGGTCCGTGTATCATCCCATCATTTGATTTCCAATTTGAAATTAAATAAGCAGAAATGAGAAAACGGCACCTTTATTCGTTTTTTCGAAAAAACGAGATTTCGGCTTGATTTTTCGTTCACAGGCAAAAAACGAATACATGACTTAAAAATTCGTTTTCCACATTTGGGCGGTCATGAGATGAGACGCCCCCTTCGGCTGATTGGTCAAGTAAATCTGAGCATGTGACGTCATCAATCGTCGCTCAGGTCTGTTTGAAATAATAGTCCTCAATGGTAATCTACCCATTAAGGATGTAATTTGTCTTTTTTGAAAACCCAAACAAATCTTTAGAATCTACTGGTAACTTCCTTATCCTTGTAGCAAACTTTTACTTTCACAAACTTTTACTTTCACAAACAAAGGTTTCTTAAGAAAATTCTTACTTTTAAAGATTTCTTATGTGAAGTAAAATATTTAATCAAATCACTAAGACTAATTGATAATAGAAAATGTACTTCTTTTTTGAAGAAATATAGAGATAGTTTATGTACCATGATTAATATCTGTTTGCGGTTTATTTTTTCCCCCCTTTTTTTTTCTTTGTTTAGCTCTTTCCATTTTTGTGCTATGGTTGGGCACGAATGAGTTTGTTTAATACATACATTGTTGGAAATGTTTTAGATTCCTAAAAGATGTGTGTTTGCACTATTGTAATTTTTTTTAAAAATATAAGTCCTCTACTACCGCTTCTTAAACTGTATAGGGCAGGGCCTAGATTGGGCTTTCTTCTGTGCAATTTAGCGCGTTTCACAGAAATATTTACATCAGAAATATTAAATATTAGCCTGCCACCAGCCTATTTTATTTAGCTGTGCGGAGTTAAATCTGTGTGGTGCTGCGCTAGACAGCGCAGAGCGGGTGAAGCACAGACCAGTGTTCAGTCAGCAGTCACAACTTTTCTTTTAGACAGTATAAGCTCTGTTTTGGACACGGGATGGTTATTGGAAATACTGTAATTATGCCAATCGGCTGAGGGTGGGTACCGATGATGGTGAAATAAATTTTTACTGAAACTGTAATCATGGCCGCAACCCGCGAGAATGAGACAGATGATTGACAGGATGATAGCGGAGGCAATTAAAGGGGCAAGATAACTTCTGTAAAAAATAAATAAAAAAAAGTGTTTAATATAAGTGACTTTGTCTTTGTTTTACTGTTTTCAATAAAATAATAGTGAACGGTTGACCACAAACTGAGCCTTCGTTTTAAAGGGCAATTTCCAAATATCTTTTATTTATTTGTTATAATATGGGTATTTTGGGTCACCCGTCTTATTAATAGTATATTTGGAAATAAGTTGTTGTTTTTTTAAATTTTGTTTTCATTAAAAATATAGGCCTATCATAACAACTTATAAGGATCAAAATCTGCAGAAGACATTAACAAATAACACTGGTGTTGTCATAAGTTAATCAGTGGGAAAATTTTCTCACCGGCATAACCCTATAGGCCTACTTAATGTTGGCTACATGTTACAGTAAATTAAATTAAGTTGGCCCAACCCAATAATTAATATTTATAATTAAAAATTACTAAATTGAGTTGGCCCAACTCAATTTAAATTGTTCAAAATTAAGTTGGCTCAACTCAGTTAATATTTAGAATTTATATTTTCTAAAATTGAGTTGGCCCAACTCAATTTAAATTGTTCAAAATTAAGTTGGCTCAACTCAATAATTAATATTTAGAATTTAAATTTTCCAAAATTGAGTTGGCCCAACTCAATTTAAATTGTTCAAAATTAAGTTGGCTCAACTCAATAATTAATATTTAGAATTAAAACTTTCCAAAATTAAGTTGGCCCAACTCAATTTAACCATTAAATGGATGGTAGTGAACAAATAAAAGACTTTGTTATATATACTTTTTATAAGCAAGTTGCCAAATGTCACTTTAGGGTCCTTTTGGAGCCTTTTCCAAAAATGCACATAACTGCATTTTTATAAACATTTAGGATGTAAACAATACACCAGAGAAAGTATATAAGTTGTGCTTTGTCGTATTGTAATAAGAAAATATATTGAAATGATCAAAAAAACTTGTTATAGCTCATGGTAAAAGTTGGTTACCAAGTGTCCCTTTGGAGTCTCCAAGTGGCCTTTTTGGGTAGGTGCCCTGACATGCGCTGAAATAAATGCTTGTAAAAAAATCATTTTTGCTTGTATAAACTTCAAATTTGAAACATACATTGTTAAGACCTATGGCTTTAGTTTGCTTGTGTTTCCAGGCCCGTATATTTTTGCCTTAAGCATTTTTCTTTTTCATAAATATTTATTATACAAAAACAAATTCTCGTCCATTGTTTTTGAGCTTATTTATCTCTCTATTAGTAATTGCTCAGAGCAATTTTAAGTCTTTCATAGTAAACTGCCAAGTGTCAGCTTTTAAATGATACCTTGGTTTTGTGTGTAGCCAAAAGGACTAGTTAGCAACAACCATTTTATTATGGGTATGTCATTTTGCACTCGATTGCCAAAACGTGGGGCGAGTAGTAAGGGGTTAAATTGTTCAAAATTAAGTTGGCCCAACTCAATAATTAATATTTAGAATTAAAAATTACCAAAATTGAGTTAGCCCAACTCAATTTAAATTGTTCAAAATTAAGTTGGCCCGACTCAATAATTAATATTTAGAATTAAAAATTTTGGGTCACCCGTCTTATTATTAGTATATTTGGAAATAAAAAGTTGTTGTTTTTTTAAATTGTGTTTTCATTAAAAATATAGGCCTATCATAACAACTTATAAGGATCAAAATCTGCAGAAGACATTAACAAATAACACTGGTGTTGTCATAAGTTAATCAGTGGGAAAATTTCCTCACCGGCATAACCCTATAGGCCTACTTAATGTTGGCTACATGTTACAGTAAATTAAATTAAGTTGGCCCAACCCAATAATTAATATTTATAATTAAAAATTACCAAAATTGAGTTGGCCCAACTCAATTTAAATTGTTCAAAATTAAGTTGGCTCAACTGAGTTAATATTTAGAATTTATATTTTCTAAAATTGAGTTGGCCCAACTCAATATAAATTGTTCAAAATTAAGTTGGCTCAACTCAATAATTAATATTTAGAATTTAAATTGTTCAAAATTAAGTTGGCCCAACTCAATAATTAATATTTAGAATTAAAATTTTCCAAAACTCAATTTAATAATAATAATAATAATTCATTACATTTATATAGCGCTTTTCTAGGCACTCAAAGCGCTTCACATGGAAGGGGGAATCTCCTCAACCACCACCAATGTGCAGCATCCACTTGGATGATGCGACGGCAGCCATAGTGCGCCAGAACGCTCACCACACACCAGCTTACTGGTGGAGAGGAGACAGAGTGATGAAGCCAATCAGTGTATATATATATATACACTGAACAATTTAAATTGTTCAAAATGTCAAACATCTATGTCTACATAGTCTAACATCAAAATGTTAATGTCTTCTGTAGATTTTGATCTTTATAAGTTGTTATGATAGGCCTATATTTTTTAATGAAAACACATTTAAAAAAACAACAACTTTTTATTACCAAATATACTATTAATAAGACGGATGACCCAAAATACCCATATTATAACAAATAAATAAAAGATATTTGGAAATTGCCCTTTAAAACGAAGGCTCAGTTTGTGGTCAACCGTTCACTATTATTTTATTGAAAACAATAAAACAGTCACTTATATTAAACACTTTTTTTCTTTTTTTTTAACAGAAGTTATCTTGCCCCTTTAATTGCCTCCGCTATCATTCCTGTCAATCATCTGTCTCATTCTCGCGGGTTGCGGCCATGATTACAGTTTCAGTAAAAATTTATTTCACCATCATCGGTACCCACCCTCAGCAGATTGGCATAATTACAGTATTTCCAATGACCATCCCGTGTCCAAAACAGAGCTTATACTGTCTAAAAGAAAAGTTGTGACTGCTGACTGAACACTGGTCTGTGCTTCACCCGCTCTGCGCTGTCTAGCGCAGCACCACACAGATTTAACTCCGCACAGCTAAATAAAACAGGCTGGTGGCAGACTAATATTTGGCGTGTTTTTCGGAAGGTTTGGGGGAATCATGGGATTGAGAAGATGCCGAGTGTTTGGAAACCTCTTTGTTATTTCGTCATTCCGTCGTGCGGTACTTTTTGAATTTGCTTGCGTGTAATTTATTCAAATGAATAAAGTGGAAATAAGGAGCTACTTATTGAGAATAAGATTGAATGAGGGTGTCTGCTTTCTGTGTCTTTTAAAATTGTTATAAAATGTATGGGACTAAAAGTGAAACAAACTAACTAATACCACAAAACATGACAAAAGTCACCAGGTCAGTTACTAATAATTATTGATGCCCTGAGTTTTATTTTTTCACCCCAAAATGGTCAGTTATGGAGCTTGGTTTTGTTAGTTCATTCAAAAATAAAATGTCATAATTTACTAAACCTCAAGTTGTTCCACATTAATTGATTGAACGAACACAAAAGGAGCTATTAAGCAGGTAATTAGGTAGGAATTATCATTTTGTAATTTTTTTGGTGACTAGTGCAACAGAAACTCATGCGCATAGAATTATATAATGTAATAATGTCTGTGGTGACTTAATAAAAAATATTGTATAGTATTATCCAAGCTCAATTTTAATGTCTTATAATTTGTAAAAAAAAAAAAAAAAATACAATGCCAGCAGATGCTTGTGAGATAGTTTGATGTATTGTTGCTGTATATTACAGAACGGACAGAGGTTGTCTCTGCCAGCTCTGTGGTGGGTGAATGACAGCGGAGAAGAGGTCAAATGGAGTTTTGAGGAGTTGGGCTTCCACTCAAGAAAACTTGCAAATGTTCTGCATCAGGTGTGCAGTTTGGAAAGAGGGGATCGTGTGTTCCTCATTTTACCCCGAGTCCCTGAGTGGTGGCTGGTTAATGTAGCATGTCTCAGAACAGGTACAGTCTTACAGACCTCCTGAAATAGATTCGTTAGGTATTTGCTGAGAGAGATTTCTATGATTCTTTCACCCTTGTTCTGTTTTCCATTGGTTCGTTGTTGGGGTTAAACTGTAATCTACTTTTATTGCTTCACACTGCTGGGGAAACACTGGGGAAACACTGCTTAAAGTTGAATTGTCTAATTTTAAAATGGTAAAAATAAAATAAAAAAATATCTAATGGATAAGCTGAAAGTTATTTACATATTATGGCAGACATTTAAATTCCTCACTATTTTTCCTAAAAATAAATGTTGAAAAAAAATTTAACAAAGTTTTTCTGAATGCTGAATTTACACTCACCTAAAGGATTATAGGAACACCTGTTCAATTTCTCATTAATGCAATTATATAATCAACCAATCACATGCCAGTGGCTTCAATGCATTTAGGGGTGTGGTCCTGGTCAAGACAATCTCCCGAACTCCAAACTGAATGTCAGAATGGGAAAGAAAGGTGATTTAAGCAATTTTGAGCGTGGCATGGTTGTTGGTGCCAGATGGGCCGGTCTGAGTATTTCACAATCTGCTCAGTTACTGGGATTTTCACACACAACCATTTCTAGGGTTTACAAAGAATGGTGTGAAAAGGGAAAAACATCCAGTGTGCGGCAGTCCTGTGGGCGAAAATGCCTTGTTGATGCTAGATCTCAGAGGAGAATGGGCAAAATAAAAACCAGGAAAAATATTACCTGGTCTGATGAGTCTCGATTTCTGTTGAGACATTCAGATGGTAGAGTCAGAATTTGGCGTAAACAGAATGAGAACATGGATCCATCATGCCTTGTTACCACTGTGCAGGCTGGTGGTGGTGGTGTAATGGTGTGGGGGATGTTTTCTTGGCACACTTTAGGCCCCTTAGTGCCAATTGGGCATCGTTTAAATGCCACGGCCTACCTGAGCATTGTTTCTGACCATGTCCATCCCTTTATGGCCACCATGTACCCATCCTCTGATGGCTACTTCCAGCAGGATAATGCACCATCTCACAAAGCTCGAATCATTTCAAATTGGTTTCTTGAACATGACAATGAGTTCACTGTACTAAAATGGCCCCCACAGTCACCAGATCTCAACCCAATAGAGCATCTTTGGGATGTGGTGGAACGGGAGCTTCGTGCCCTGGATGTGCATCCCACAAATCTCCATCAACTGCAAGATGCTATCCTATCAATATGGGCCAACATTTCTAATGAATGCTTTCAGGACCTTGTTGAATCAATGCCACGTAGAATTAAGGCAGTTCTGAAGGCGGAAGGGGGTCAAACACAGTATTAGTATGGTGTTCCTAGTCATCCTTTAGGTGAGTGTAAATGTAGCCATCAGAATATTGTAATATAGGGTTAATTCAGGATAACTGAAACATTTTTTTTTTTTTTTTTTTTTTAAGTCCCAATTTAAATTACAGTATGAGTAGAAAGTTCACTACTTAACCTCTTCTCTCTGCTTGTCCTTTCAACACATGGTTTCTTTTTCATCGTTACCCCATTTCCTCACACAGGTACGGTTCTGATCCCCGGCACCTCTCAGCTCACGGCTCGAGATATCCGCCACCGGCTGCAGTCGTCTGGGGCCAAGTGTGTAATCACAGATGAAACTTTGGCCCCACTGTTGGACACAGTGGCCTCAGAATGCCCTTCCATCTCCACCAAGCTTCTGCTGTCCCGCAGGGCCATGCCTGGCTGGGGCAACCTGACAGAACTCATGGGGTCAGTGGAGAACAAGGGATATGCATGTACAGGGGGCACTTTAAATTAGTGAAGAAATGGCTGAGTGCACACATTAAACGTGTGAAAAATTACAAAGTAGTTAGACCTTTATAGAGACATTTTTAATGTTATTATCAGATGTTGTGTTTGCGTTGTAGAAGAGTGTCAGATGATCATGTTTGCGTGGACACCAGGAGTGAGGAGGCCATGACTATCTTCTTCACTAGTGGCACAACCGGCTCTCCAAAAATGACCCAACAAAGCTACTGTAGTTACGGTCTTGGGCTCACGGTGAACGGCAGGTTTGTGACATCATTCCGAGGGTCAGTGGGCTGAATTTATGACAGATCAGCGCTGCATTGAGCAGTTAAAAAACTTACACAGTAGCTAAGGATGCATTGCAAGTTTTTATAATGTACACTACTGTTCAAAAGTTTGGTGTCAGCAAGATTTTTTTGCCTCAAGAATTTATTTAGCAAGGACGCATTAAATTGATAACTTAAAAGGTGACATTAAAGACATTTATAAAGTAAAAAAAGGTTTCTATTTCAATTAAATGCTGTTCTTTTGAACTTTCTGTTTACCAAAGAATCTTGAAAAAATGCATTTTGAATATTAAGCAGCACAACTGTTTTCTACATTGATACTAATTAATAATTGTTAATTGAGCATCAAATCAACTTTTGAAGAGAAGTGTATAATGAAATCTAAATGTAACATAAAATGTATATAAATTGTGTGAATTCTGAAGGTACTGGCTGGATCTGACTGAGCAGGATGTGTTTTGGAACACGTCAGACACGGGTTGGGCCAAGTCGGCGTGGAGCAGCGTGTTTGCTCCGTGGATCCAGGGAGCATGTGTGTTTGTTCACCACATGCCACGCTTTGAGACAAGTATAGTTCTCAAGGTACAGGAAGATCACAGGTCCATTCTTGACAAGAATGTTCTGCTTGAAAGTTACGGATCAAGAATTGATTCTTTAAGAAATCTCCCTATCATGTTTTATGGAAAACAAAATCACAACACTTAATCTTACTTTGAAGAGACATCGACAGTTTGGAGTTGGTAAGATTTTTTGTTTTTGTTTTTGGAAATCTCTTCTGCTCACCAAGACTGCATTTATTTGATCAAAAATACAGTAAAATGTAATATTGTGAAATATTATTAGAATTTAAAATAAAAATTTTAATATATTTTAAAGTGTTATTTATTCCTGTGATGGCAAAGCTGAATTTTCAGCATCATTACTCCAGTCTTCGGTGTCACATGATCCTTCAGAAATAATTCTAATAAAATTATTTGCGCCACAAGAAACATTATTATTATTATCAATGTTGAAAACAGTTCTGCTTAATATTTTTGTGGAAATTGAGATTCATTTTTTTTTTCAGGATTCTTTGATTAATAGAAAGTTCAAAAGAATTTATTTAAAATGGGAATCGTTTGTAATACTATAAATGTCTTTACTGTGACTTTTTGATCAATTTAATTCATCCTTGCTGGATAAAAGTATTAATTTCTTAGTGACATTTTAACAGTAGTGTATGTATTATTTATTGACTTATTTTACTAGAAAGCTTTCTGGTAACACTCATGTTTTCTCCTAACAGACTTTGAGCAGCTATCCCATCACCACCTTCTGCACGGCACCAACAGCCTATCGAATGCTTGTACAGGACGACATATCCAGGTACTGACTGTAACTGATGTGCTATATTTGAATTCAAACGAATTAACTTTTAGGTCTAAAGTTACAAGTTCTTTATAGACTTCATTTGTTAGTTTTATGATTATCAAGTTTTTATATAGTGTCTGTAAAAGTTAATTTTTTTAATTGCATGTATTGTAAGTTGCAAAATGTTTAACTGAACTGGCTATTAAATGACTAAGACCTTAACCTGGACTGGATCACAGCAGAATCCAGATGAATATGTCTGGTCCAGGTGTAATCCTCATCTTTGCCTGTGGTTTCTGACAGGTATAAGTTCCATGCTCTTGAGCACTGTCTGTGTGCAGGAGAGCCCATTAACCCAGAGGTGATGTGGAAATGGAAAGATCTCACTGGACTGGACATCTATGAAGGATATGGACAGACTGAGACTGTAAGTCTGGGATCAGTTTTTGAAGGATCAATATAGACGGGGCTGAAAATGGGTCCTAAATTAGCATCTGTTTTCATCCATATTATATAGTCATTGATTTGATTCATTTACATGAACTGAAGGAGAGTAAATCTAAGCTTAGCCTTGTGCTGTCACACACAATATAGTCATTCCTCTGTTTTTTTTTCTCCCAGGTTTTAATAGCTGGCACATTCAAAGGCATGAAGATCAAACCAGGATCTTTTGGAAAGGCTTCTCCAGGATATGATGTTCAGGTGCAGCAACAGTCTGTCCAGGGTTTAAACTGGCAATAATAGTTGTTAAGTTTTATACTTACTGGCTTCGTATTAAATTTACTATGAACTCATAAGGGACTATTCTTATTTTGTTATGGGATATTACATTATTGATTATAAATGGTTTATACGTGCACATCATTATTATTATTATTAATTCATGTTCCCTCATCATCTTTATTTAAAATAACTTCCCCTCCCTCTTGCAACGCCTCTTCTCTTCTCTGAGATGTTTTCTTGTTTGAGAAGCAGTTTCACTCAAATATACATCACAATAGTAGACTAAAGACTATCACCACTTCTGTTTCATGCTGACTTTAAAGAGGATCTATTATGCTTTTTTCCTTTTTCAACTTTCTTTAGTGTGTAATCTTGCTGTTTGAACGCCCTCAAATGCCTCGATTGTAGTCTTGAGTTTTCTTCTGGGAATGTGTACGTCACAATATTCCTCATTTAAATAATTCCATCCCAATGCGTAAAAAAAGGGGCTGAAGCATTAGTAGTGTGTTGAAACTTGTGGTTATGGTAAGTGGCGTGACGTTTCTGAAACACTCGAGCCAGTTGACCAATCACAACACACTGGTCCAGCCGACCAACCAGAGCACATTGTGCTTTTAGGAAGGAGCTAAACAGAGCGTTACTGATGGGGGGGGGGGTGTAAAAACTGATGATTTTTTTGTAAAAAAACAAAAAAAATTAAACAGAACATGAAAACCTATTCTACTAGACCCTAAAAACAAAATCAAGACTTTAAAAAAGGGCATAATATTACAGTAACCCTTTAATAGTTACTGTAATATTTGCACTGAAAATGATCTAAGACAGATAATAATTATATAAAATGAAAAGACAAAGTTAAAAAAACCCACAAAAACAACTGAGATAACAGGTGTGTTTTTTAAATAGGAGCTTTTCACTGAACTCTGTGAGGTGTTCTAGTAATTCTGGACTGCTTTGGTTTAAGGTGGTAGATGAAGATGGTTCTGTTGTGCCACAAGGACAAGAGGGAGACCTCGGCATCAGAGTGAAACCAGACAGACCCTTCTCTCTTTTTACAGAGTATACGGTACGTTTTCCTTTTCTCAGCTTATTAGGCTCTGTACTAACAATAAAGCTGTTGAGCTCGAGTTGATTGATCTAAATTCATCCTGTAGGGGGAGCCGGAGCGCACGGCCGAATGTTTCCGTGGTGATTTCTACCTGACAGGTGACAGGGGAATGATGGATGAAGAAGGATACCTGTGGTTCATTGGCAGAGCTGATGATGTCATCCTGTCCGCAGGGTATGAATTCTGCTTTGATCATGATGATGATGATGTCAGGTTTTGTAATCTGACATCTATGGAGTGTGTGTGTGTTTTAGGTACCGCATTGGTCCATTTGAGGTGGAAAATGCTCTGATAGAGCATCCAGCTGTAGCAGAATCTGCTGTGGTCAGCAGCCCTGATCCGGTTCGAGGAGAGGTAGTGCAATGCATTCTGGGATTTCCTTCTCAGTAAAGCGTACATGCAGTGTGACCTTAGAATTGGGCAAAAAATTACGGAACTTGAAGGCAGCACTACGCCTTAAAACGGTGTCTAAGTTGGCAGCTCAATTAATCTTCTATTTAGTTTAAGTTAAATTGTAACCATAATTTTTACACACATGGAATACAACATGTAAATTGCATTGACTTTATGTTTCAGGTGGTGAAGGCTTTTGTAGTGCTGACAGCAGATTTTAAATTTAGAGACCACAAGGAACTGATCCAGGAACTGCAAACTCATGTGAAGACTGTCACGGCTCCTTATAAATATCCACGCAAGGTAACTTACAAATAGAGTTCAGTGCTTACTAATTTAATTCTTTCAATTTAGTCCATTTTAAAGGTATATTTTGTTCCAACTTTCAAATGTTTAAACCCTTTTTTTTTTGTCAGATTGAGTTTGTGGATCATCTGCCCAAGACAGTAAGCGGGAAAATAAGACGAGTGGAGTTAAGAAAGAAGGAATGGGGACAGAAAACTAAAAGCTAAAACTGGATATGAGAAAACAAGTTTCTGTTCAGATCACATTCCTATCTTTATATGTCATAGTTCAGTCTGATAAATTGATCTACAAACCTGTAGTCCTTCAGCTCGCCTGCAGGTAGCAGCATTTCATTACAATCAAGTTGATATAATTTAATAGGTTTTAATGATTCTACCTCATGTTTAAGTAACAAAAAATGTATAAGCTTTGCCATTCAAAAATATATATTTTAATATTTTAATCATAAATTGTAGATTATATTCTGCATATGCAAAAGGTAAATACATATATATATATATATATATATATATATTTTTTTTTTTGCATAATATAAGCATTTATATAATTAAAAGCCCCTTTTGAAGGAATTAGTAAAATAGTTTTTGGGTGACTTTATGTTTGATAAACCATGTTTCTTCCAAACACAGAGTGCGCCTTTATTCCTCAATATTAGTCCATGATGTCATGTGACTGATGACAGATGGCAGACACAAATCTGATCTTTGCTGAATGATAAGAGTATTTTAAGGTTATGAAGATTTCTGAATTTGTGGAAATTTTACCCCACAGAGGAATGCAGTGACTTATCAGATGACAAATCTGTTGGTAAACTAGTTTTGACCACTAATGGAGATACACATCATCACTGCTACAGCAGACAGATGACTTTAGCTTTTCAAAAAATAATAATAATAATAATAATGCCCACAATTTATGAAAAATAAAAGGCAACATTTTCCAAACTGCTCAAACCTAAACTAGCCGAGCTGTGAATTGCCCACACTGGTTATTCAAAGAGCATAGAGTGAGAAATGTGGTGGCGCAGCACTCTCACTGACAGCAGTAATGACAGACAGGTGCTTGTGTAATTGACCTGTTAATGGGGCTTATGCTTATCGGGTGGAAAAACAGAGCCATAGACTTTATTACTGAAATATCAAGACAAAATATGCCAGAAATCAACACATTCAACTGCTTCCTTGCGTATGTCATTAAATCTGACTTTGGATGTTTGTTTTGACAGCCTGAAGGATGTCGGGCCGAAAACCGCAGTCGTTTGTGTATCGCGTTTGCGGATGAATCTGTCGGATTTGGTTGACAGCAACTGATTTGAATTGCTCAAACTGCAAACTCGCTGTCAAAACATGTGAGCTGCGTAGGCCTACCTTACAAAACAAAAAGTAGGCTGTGGCTGTACCTTCAATGGTACCACTACCAAATAATATGTATGTTGGTATGCAGTGGGTTCCAGGTTTGAGACCTCTACTGAAAAAAAAAAAAAAAAAAAGAATACAAAAAAATATATATAGCCTAATATATATATATATATATTTGGGTTACAGTGTAATTATACATTTAAAAACTGAATAGGGTTAGGTTTAAGGTTAATTGCGTGTAATTATGCATAATTTGTTGTTATTAGTAACTAGGCTACATGTAATGACAAGGGCACTGTAAAATAAAGTGTTATTTGAATAGAAAACTTGGACCTCAGAATGTCCAATTTGGTCTGTCATTAACATTTATCGATAGGCTATATTTATATCTTAGAATTTTTTTTTTTTTTTAAATAAGCTTTTTAGTTATTACAATTTTAATTCAGATATATAGGCCTGTGGTCTCAGACTATTGGAAAACCAGTCCCCGTTTTAATCTCCTTTTTGCCACCAGTTCATGTTAAATGGTCCTGCGGTGTGTGACAAGTTATTTGTCAAAACTAGAAAATACTGCATAAAGTCTCTAAATTAATTTGAGCTCATGCATATTAACTTTTAAAGAATTAGCAATGCTGTTTAAAATAGCTAGTTTTAGACGGAGTACAGCATATTACAAAGTCAAAGTGGTCAAGCATTTCATGTCGACTACACGTTTAGGCCTACTTCAGAGAAAGTTACCATGGTAATATATCTAGAGAAAATGGTAGTAACCTACTTGTAGTCAGTCAGTGTCGACAGCATTTTTGTACAATAGTTGCTATCCGAGTCAGCTGCACGCGCCGATGGTGCCCAGAAAGCTGTTTAGGTAGAAAGAAGCGCACTACTGGTTTTGATTAAAAGAGGGTTTTAGGGCATTAAGTTGAGCTTTGTCAGGGAAAACAGCAGTGAGGTGGGCACGGGTCACCGACTCGGATCTTTATGGATTATTATTTTTTCTGCATCAACTGCAAATCACGTGAGATGAATGTGCAATGACAGTGTCCCGACACCGAACGGTCTCACGCAGTTCTCGAGGAACGGACACGCGCTCACACACCTTCATGTAAATCTAGCGCTTCATCGCATTTTTTTTTTTACTGTGTTTTCTTTCTTTTTATTTTGCTTTTTGGTTTGGTTTATTTAATAGCAATGGCTTGGCCGTGTATCAGCAGAGTCTGTTGCTTGGCTCGCTTCTGGAACCAGTTCGATAAATCGGATTTGTCGGTTCCGCTAACGATTCAGAACTATTCGGACATCGCGGAGCATGAGGTGCGATCCGTCACCAAACTCGTTTCCACGGAGCAGGCAACGAGGGTCGACTTCGTAACGCCGGATCACGCTGCTGGAGTCCGGCGGCCTCACCGGGGACGGACCGAACCGAGTTATAAACCCCGCGAGGACTACCATCCCCCGGGTGTGCCTTTCCCGAGCATCACCCAGTATAAACAGGATTACAAACCCTGGCCCATCCCGAAGAAGGATAACTTTCCCTGGATTAGTAACGGAGGGAAAGGCGGCACTTTGACGGACAGCCCGGTGAACGGGTACTCTGACGGGGCGGAGAGACAGGAGCGTGGCGGCCGGCAGAGAGGAGGAGATCAGATCAGCTCAAACAGGTACTGATGTTCCTGCTGTTCTTCAGCACATCTCAGTCACTGCAACACACTCACACTTCTCAACAGTTAGTTATTATCAGAATCATGAGTAAATAGATTTGACTGATCCAGCAAAGATTGTTATGGGAGGGTATTTTATTTTAGCCTACTTAGTGAGTATACACATCACATAAGGCTAGATAAAAATTCCCAATAATAATAATTTTTTTTTTTTAGCCTATGTACTGAGTAAAAAAAATCAAAGACAAAAAAAATCCATAGTAATTTTCTCTATTTTTATGCACCAAATAGACTACTCTTAAATAAAGTGTAATAACACTTATTTTTATTTAGTATGTTGACAGATAAAATGTGGTATCTCTGAGATATGTCCACTATAATGTACAAAAATCAATTGCTGGGGAACACATTTGCCTGATAGCTTTCATTGATTTATTGAGCAGAGAAAAGTGCCCTTTCTTTGAAGATAGTTTGCTGTGGTGCTGTAACGGGACTGGTGTGGTTGTAATGGTTGTGCATTGCAGTGATTTTCAGACAGTGTGATCACTGTCATGCATATTTCATCTGACGGCTTATGAAAGACCGGAATGAAACTAAAATAATTACATAAAACAGTTATTTAATGAGAACACAATGAATTATGAACAGTCCTCTGTGTTCATCAGCCTTTGGTTTCTAAAGGATGTGATCTGTGAATGCTCTGATCATATAAAACCGATACTTCCAGTCATTATTCACCCAAACATTTCAAAGATTCTCTAAATTTAGTTTCCCTTCTAAATTTCTGAATAGAAATGTAGAGATACGGATAGTGATCATCGTTTTTTTATACAGGTTATGCTGAAGTAAATCTATGGTGGGGAAAGTTGCTTTTAAAAAGTAATGCATTACTCCCTAAAAAAGTAACTAATTGCTTTACTTATTTTGTAAAGTAATTTGTTGTTACTTTTTCTCATCTGGGCTAGGCTTGCTTGTTTTTTAATAACAAAAAAGTTCTATTTTTGGCTAATTTAATGGCGCTTTCACACCAAAAGTGAAATAAATAAGCCTCAGACTGAAGGAAATGCAAATTCATGCCAGTAGAGAGCGCAGGTCAAATAAACATTTCAGCTGCGCCACCATTCTCGGACGCAGGAGAAGAAAGTTTAAAACCCTTACTTCAGCAAAAAAACACAAATGTGATGCATATCTAAAGTCATTTTTGCTTATCAGTATGGTTGAGTTGGATCATCAAAGGTCAGCAGCAAAGACATTGCTTAATAAATTGAGATTAAAGCTCCAGTCCGTAACTTTTTTAAGTTAAAAATAATCCAAAATAATTATATTAAAAAAAACTTATTCTGCCAGTGGTAAAAACTATCTGCTTGCCATAGCTAGATTCAAAACGGTTAGCTTGTAATAATGATTTTAATTCCAGTGGTACTGGTGGGTTTCCGCGGGAAATTCGAGCATGTCTTTGCGTCATTACGTCACACCCGTACACATAAAGAAGGAGTTTCGGCTAGCCGGCTATACTGCGCTTGACGAGATGTTTAAATGTATAGGCTTTTCTCGCAGCACTTTACATAGTTAAACTTATGGCATCCAGAAAGATCCAAACAACAATCATCAGTGTCAACTGGAGATTCAGCAGTTATAAAACCCAAAAGACTTCGTACTTCGGATTTAAGGTGGCTAGAGAAAGAGAAAGAAACCGTCTCATGCGAACACAAGGATTTAAACATCGGCGGGGCTTTTGAAAAGTGCGTGAACTCCGTGTTTTGAAGGGGTTCAAAACGGAAGAAGAGACGGCTTTTTTCTGCTGAACAAGTACGACATTTCAATAGTTCAATCGTGTAACAGTACGTTTTCTTAATTCACACAGTTATGGAGTTTCCTTTGTTGTGCCTTTCTCGTTTTGCTATTATGGAGAATATGAATTCTGAACTACGCAGGTAGCTGCTAACCATAAAACACATTAAATTTAACATTAGTCACGCTATGCTGATGTGATGTTGTTAACATGAACAATTTGAGAACAAAGTAGGCTATAATTTGCACGGTTGCTGTAAATCGCGTTGATTAAATCTAACGAAGCTTATCATGTCGAATGCTTTTTCCCCCTTAGTTGGTCAGAACAAAAATGGATGTTACTTACTTGTTCAGAACACATTTTCTTATGAAAATTCTTATGTTGGTCAAACTTTCAAAAAGTGAATCTGTGATTCTGTATGACAGTATCCACACAGCGCGGTGACTGACAGCAGCACTCGCCTCAAAGCACTGTGTTCATCCGCGCTGTTTCATGCCGATTTACAACCCACGTAAAGATGATAATTCCGCGAATCACTGCAGTTACAGATTTCGAACAGAGAGATGGCGACAAAGAGGAAAAGATACGGACTGCAGCTTTAAGTAATTCAGATATTTTATTGTAAATGTAATAGTAATGCGTTACTTAACTAGTTACTGGGAAAAGTAATCTGATTACGTAAATTGCGTTACTTGTAATGCGTTACTCCCAACACTGATGGTGGGCACCTGTTGCTCTCCTTTTGCAGCCTGACTTTAACTCAGGCCGACATCTGCTGCTCTTCACTGCAGATCCTCAGGGCTCCCTCTCTGTTTTGCCTGTCTGTCTTTTTCTGTCCCTGTCTGATACATTTCATCTTTCTCTGGAATCAGACAGGAGTACCAGCCTTGGTCTGGAGCCCGGCCGCCAAAGCCTGGCCACAAACGGCCCACCTTCCTGGGTACAGGTGCTGACAAGCCCCCGCCGGAGACCAGCTACCAGGCCGCCTTCAGCACGGACACACACAGACACACGGACGGGGTACAGGAGACCAGCACACACGGTCTGTCAGAGAGAGCACACACACACAGGACCGAGATCAGCATGAAACCAGAGGTGAGTGTGAGGACAGATCAGAGGAGACGTGGGGAGAAGAGAAGGAGTTTAAATCTGACAGCCGCTGATGTGACAGAAACTTTCAAACCAGGCTCAGCAGAATGAGAACCAACGGCTTCTACTGTGATATAATCAGCAGGAGATCAATGTGTGAAACCAAGTTCAGACACAAAAAATAACAGTTTTATCTTAAGGGAAAGTTAAGAAATTTACATTTATATATATATATATTTAAAGAAATTAATAATTCAGCAGGTACACATTAAGTCGATCACAAGTGAAAATAATATAGATTTAATTTTTTTTTAATAAATGTTGTTTTGAACTTTCTATTTATCAAAGAATCCTGAAAAAAAATATCACAAAATATCAATTCTTGAGCACCAAATCAGCATATTAGAATGTATCACGTGACACTGAAGACTGGAGTAATGATGCTGGAAATTCAGCTTTGCATCACAGGATCAAATTAAATGGAAGCCTACAGGGTGAAGGTATGGGATGGTTTTAGCAGAAATATGCTAATGTTATAGTTGTGAAAGCATTTGCATGAATTATTCACGTTTGATATTTGAGCTGTAAAGTTGACACATCATCCTTTTGAAGTGGGTTTACTTTTCTAGGTAAATGAACTTGTCGCAATAACCGATGTAATTTATTACCGTAACATTGTGACAAATCAAAATTACTTTCTGTGGCAATCATCAGCATTTAAATCATATTTAACCCATAATTATGTAAGCAGAGATATTGATTTGGGTAACCTTTTAGGTTAATCTGCTAAATCAAGCCTAATATGCAATTAAATTAATTCCCTTTCTGGGACAAATGAGAGTTTTAGGTCAGTCTTTAGGGCTGATCTGGTAAAAGCGCGATTCATTGGGGTTATGTAATCGGTGACCCGCTCCTGTGTCCCGTTATGTGAATCTAGTCTGAGCGCTACCTGTCAATAATGATCCAAACTAACTGAGACAGCTGAAGCTTTTGCACATCAGAGGTCTTCAACCCTGCCCATGGAGACCCACTGTCCAGCAAAAGAGCAGGATTGAGACCTGCCTGTAGTAAAGTATGCACTAATTAGGGTTCATCATTTAGTCTTAATTACTCTAGTAACCCATGCATGCTTGCTGTCATACCTCACGCATGACCAGTGAGGAAAGAAACACAATGCCTGGAGTCTGAGGCAGATCTATGAGAATTTGTGAAGCATTTGTGCTCCTGGTTTAAATGTCTCTGTGATTGAATTGTAACTTTTCCCTTCATAACCTCTGCACTGCTCCATTTGTCAAGTTGTCATATAGATCCGCTAGTCTGATGTTTTTTATGAAGGTTGTATGGGTCTGATATCCCTCTATGGCTGTAGTTGGATCTCTATGAGAGATTTTAACATACAATTGTGAGAACGCTGATAATGTTGAACTTACGGCTACTGCCGTAAGTAGAAGTAGATGTGCTCTCTTTCAAATATCAGAGGGACCATTCTTTCTACTATATTATTGTTATATTTTTTCCTTTTTATGTCTGTGAGGCTGATTTGCTTACATTGTGGGGGTTATGTGTATGTGTAACCGTACTGATAGAGTCTAGTACACTGGAGACTTGCGTGACTGAGCCAGCTGGCATTATTTAAGCCGTCCCAAGGGTTTAACTCACACACAGCTCGTCCTGCCCTCCCAATCTCCCTCCAGATGATGCATCTAATTTAATTGTAAAAGGCAGACTGACCGTCCACTGTTCTTAATGGAGAGACAAAACCAGATGATCATTCTTAAATCTTTAAGTGGCAATTATTTCATCATTGTTTTCTGTAAGACCATCAGTTTATTATGGAGGCTAATTTCTGCCAACTTTTTATCTCACAATTTTGACCTTTTTTTTCTCGCAATTGCGAGTTTATATCTCGGTTCTGAGAAAAAAGTCCGAATTATGAGTTTTCATCTCACAATTATGACTTTTCTCTCAGAATTATGAGATATAAAGTCAGAATTGCGATATATAAACTCAAAATTGTGAGGAAAAAAGTCGCAATCAACTTTTTTACACGACACCATGTTTAACACTTTTTATGCGTTTTGGCCGTTCGTTTACACGACAGCTGTGTTTTGGTGGCCTGAAACCAAGCGGCAACCTTCTGGTCTCTCTTGATTCCAACATGGAAGTGACTTAAACTGCAGTTCATCAACTGGCCGGCCGCTAGAGACAGGCTCCAAAAGAGAGTCGATCCCATAGACCCCCCCTGTTTTGGGGGCCCGAAAACGCAAACTTTTGTAAACAGGTTTTGAAGTGCAGGTTTTTGAAAACGATAGTGTTATAGTCTCCATGTAAACTACAAAAACGTGAATTTGTAAAAAAAAAAAAAAAAAAAAAAAAAAAAAGTGACGTCATGCAAATATTGGTTCAGTTAGAGCGTAGGTTTTCATTATAAAGTGACATCGCCATCTACTGGCCTGCCAGCAAAATACAGCGTGTTTTTTTTTTGCTGCTGTTTTTCCGCATTTTTAGTACTAAATGTACCCTAAATGAGGTCATGGATCACTCTGCTGATGAATTGTTGAGTTGGATCAGCTGTGTTAGATAAAACGATTCAAAATCTGCAGGGTTCCGGGAGCAAGACTTTGAGAAACACTATTGTAGAGATCAAACCTGCACAGGTTTCACGGTGAATAAATCCCAGGGTTTCATAAATTGTCATGTAACCTTAAATGACAGTTAAACAGATTATATAAGCTTTTAAGTTGACATCAGTTTCCCATACGAGTCCACTCTGTCCCTGATAGTCAGCAGCCTATGTCAGATGACAGACAGAAGTGGGCCATGTTCAAAGTAGAATATTACTGTACTGTATACTGCATACTATATTTTAAATGTCATTTATTCCTGTGATGACAAAGCTGAATTTTCAGCATCATTACTCCAGTGTCACATGATCCTTCAGAAATCATTCTAATATGCTGATTTGCTGCTCATAAAACATTTATTATCAATGCTGAAAAGTTGTAGTGGTTAATATTTTTGTTGAAACCGTGATACTTTTTTCAAATTCTTTGAATGGATACTTCAAAAGAACAGCATTTATTCGAAATCGCACTCTTTTGAAACATTTTAAATGTTTTTATAAATGTCACTTCTGATCAATTTAATGTCTTTTCAGAATAAAATAATAATTTCTTTAAAAAAAAAAAATCTTACAGACCCCAAACTTTTGAAAACAAGCCCTATTATCATTTCAGAAATATTTTTTTACGTTTGTTGGCAGTCTCAATGGCCAAATTTGCATACTCTGCCCAATATTAAGGTGCGTTCACGCCATGTCATAATTACCGTAACCATTCTGAACTGTAAAAACTAAAAGCCTTTACGTAGATGTACGCAAGAACAATGTGTAAACAAAAAAAAAATTGTACCACGGTACCACCTGACCACTGCAGATTTAAGATGTGTTCGACTTGAAGCGACAATTTATGGTAATTCCGACATGACGTGAACGCAGCATTATTAATTCATAAAGTATTTCCAGCAGTAATAGGTATTATAAAACGGTTAGTTCCAATCCTTGATTCTGATTGGTCAATAGCTGTGCTTTATTCACGATAAAACACGGCTATGACCGCTTCACCCAACGGTTCTATGTATCACTACACAACACCCCTAGCAACCACTCTTAGCAACTTAAACAGATGTTTCATCTCATTGATATTGTTCATTTAAAGCTAGAGCAGAGCATTGTGAGAGATCGAGTAAGCGAGTGTACCTGCATTTACAGTAGACGTAGCATTTTCCTTCAGGTCAGTCCTATATTCATAATAAAAAAATGCGTTTGAATGTCCGCTGCATATTTTGTCCTTTTAACAGTCATGGGGTTTTCCGTGCATAACGTTAGTCATCTGTCAGTTGCGTCTGTCTTCTCCGTGATCACAAGTTCGAGTCCTTTCAAAAGCCTTCTCTACAGACTCACTCACTCACTCACTCATAAAGACAGTCTTTGCCGCCATCTATTGGCGAAATAATATATGTAACTTCTGTTGCTGTTCACGTTCCGGGACTATTTTTTCCAGCGGAAGGCAGGCTTTTAGTGATTTTACTTCATGAAAGTTGCATAGATACATATTTTTCGGCTTTAATATTTTTATTGTGTGGCAACCGTTTTATAAAAGCAATAAGGTACTCGAGGCAAGTGCTGTATCGTGAATAAGTAACGGCTGAAGGGGTTGCAGGCACTCCGCTTCGCGTCGTGCCTAACAACGCCCTCCAGCCGTTACTTATTCACGATACAGCACAGCCTCTCGTACCTTATTGCTTACGTATACCATTCTGAAGACCTGAGGGATGAAGCAGCAGACAGTTTGGCTGAGGGTGTCGAGTTCTTATTCTAGAAACGCTAAACAGTGTGAGAGTGAGTGTGTGTGAAAGAGAACAAGATTTAGTAGATGATAAATCTAATTTTCACCTCACTGCTTGGCTTCTCATATAGCAAACTCTTCTTAGATGTCAGAGAGAGAGAGAGAGAGAGAGAGAGAGGCAAAGAACAAAAAATAGATGGAGGCAGGGTGGAGGGAGATTATATTCTATAATGTGGGACTTGGATGAGCACATCCCAAATTATAGGTAATAGTATATGCTAAAGCTGCCCAAATTGTGCTCTATTTTTAGTGGATTTTTGAAGTGTGCATATATTCTATGCTAATGTCCCACAACACCTTGTGCTGCAGAAGAGGAGGAAGGTTTCCATGACCTTATGGTTCTTTTTCAACTACTTACATTTTAGATGAAAATTATAAATGTAAATTCAGGCTTGGCCTGAGAAGTGACATCAGAGCAGCAAATTGGAAAAAAATCAATATAAAATATACCAACATTGATAAGTAATGTTTCTTAAACACCGATAATTTGAAGGATCATGTGAAAAATTAAGGATGCAGAAAAATTCACCTTTTCTATCACACCAATAAATTAGTTTAAAATATTTAAAAACAGAAAATGGTTATTTTAAATGGTAATAATAGTTAAGCAATTCTACTGTTTTTAATGTATGTTTGATCACATAAATGCAGCTTTGATGAGCAATGAGCATAAGAAAGCGTTAATTACTCACCCTCGTGTCGTTCCAAACCAGGAAGTCTTTTGTTCATCTTCGGAACAAATGAAGATCTTTTTGATGAAATCTGAGACATTTCAGCTGTCTCCATTGACAGCTACGCAACTGCCACTTTAACATTTCAAAAGTTCATAAAGAGATCATAAAACTAATCCATATGAATTGAGTGGTTTAGTCCAAATTTTCTGAAGACTCGATCGCTTTATATGATGAACAGATTGAATTTAGGCTTTTATTCATATATAAACATTCATTAACTCACACATCAGTTGTGGTAAACGGAAGCTCAAGCAAGTTCGCTTGGTGTGCGAGAACCAATGAGGTTCATTCTCACGTGTTACGCAGCATGTTTGAGCTTCAGCAAGAACCAATGAGGTTAGTTCTCCTGGTCAAGCAGGTTCGGATTGGCTTCTGTTTATGTCCTCTGATCAATGTTTATTATAGGTCAATAAAAGCCTAAATTCGATCAAGTCTCTTCAGAAAATTTGGACTAAACCACTCAATTCATATGGAGAGTGAGTAATTAATGACAGAATTTTCATTTTTGGGTGAACTATCCCTTTAAAAGATTTTACCAACCTCAAAACTTTGAATAGTATTTATATTTATTAACTTTTTTGTGTGATTTTTTTTTTAAACAGATTTTGACCCTTTTGTTAATTCGATTTTTTTTTTTTTTTTTTTTTTTTTTTTTTACACATGATTTTAACAAAAATGTTCTTATGTGTAACAGGAGCCGAAGACTAAACTGTCACCAAATCCATCTGCTGTCTTTCAAAGCAAATCCAGGATCTTCAACATATGATCCATCAAGCTCCCCACACTCGCGTCTGATTCAGCCTTTCACTAGAAGAGAAGAGAAGACCATTTTGAAAAAGGAATGTCTAAAGAGACCACTGAATGTTATTCTGAGAGACTAGGATAATCAGAGGAAGAAAATGCCTAAGGATGAATAAGACGGTTTCAATGCAAGAGCTTGTGAAGAGCAAAATCAGTAAAACTAAATCATTCCATGAAATTACAGAACTAGACGATTTTTGCTGGAAATTTACACAATGTGAAATATATGCAAGAGAATGTATGCTTCAAATGTCAACCATCTACTTGAATGATATGTTTGTAAGACGGATCAGGTTTAAGAGAGAGAGAGAAAGAGTGTGAGAAAGTTTTAAGGCCTCATATTCTGCTGAGCTCACCCTGTCCCTGCTGAATGAGTATCTGCATGTTTCGTAATAGTTTTATGAAGCGATTGAATATGCACAATTAGAAATGTTTTAAAAGAAAAATGTAATCTAGTAACTCTGTGTCTGGGTGTGTGTGTGTGTGTGTGTGTGTATCCTGTACAAGCCTTGTTAATAGCATTATTTTTGTATATAGTGATGATGTTGGTCTGCCTTTATCGATATGTTAATGTCTGCCTGATGACGCCTGGTACTCCGATCACCCCTTTCCTGCTCCAGACTCACTAACCCTTTATGAAACGCACATAAAGACTTTAACACATTAAGAATATTTCACTGATTTCTGGGTTGTCCAATTTTTTTTTTTTTGTAAATTTGGTTGAGATATAAATGGGGAAAATAAGGCACATCTGTTTAAATAAAAAAATCTTTCATATTATTTGGCTGATTCACATCTTACAAATATTTGATTTAAAACCACTTCACATGTTCTTGTAACTAACACTTTCATGCCAATAAAAAAACTGCAATAATGATACACCTGCACCTTTTGATCAATGAATTTCCATGACTTTGACAAGTCACTCAAAATTAATATAAAACTCGCTCTATAAAGAGAAATTCAGAGCAAAAGGAAAGTGCTGAGCATGACAATTTACAAGAGACATTTCAATGTGTTTAAAATTTATTTATTTATAGAAATTGCATTGATTAAGGGTAATTTAGAGCCAATTAAATATTTCAGTCCTGAGCATAACTATTTACCAGAGACATTTTCATGTCCAATAAATAGACTTAAACTCTCTCCAAGGCAGCACAAAAAAAGTAACACTAAGTTTAGGGTCCTATTCTATACTATTAAATAGTTGCTTATTAGCAGGCATATTACTTGGATAATAGCTGTTTATTAGTAATTATAAAGCACACAGCCTTATTCTGCATGGCCATATTCTACATCCCTAATCCTACCTAAACTTAACTACCTTACTAACTATTAATGAGCAGTAATTAGGAGTTTACTGAGGCAAAAGTTGTAGTTAATAGTGAGAATTAGACCCTAAACTAAAGTGTGACAAAAAGCAATTACAAATCAATGCGATTTTTACATTTTCTGTAGAAAAAGTGGCTGAAAATCTCACTGAAGGTCACCGTTTTGCTACGTGACATTTCATTTGTAATGGCAGTTGGAAAAAGAATAGAACAAATCAGGACAGATGGATCCATCTTAGTTTTTAATACAAGAATAGTCATTTTCTGATACACAATGTAAAGGTAAAACATCCAGGAGTTCGGTTAGACAAGTAATGACTGACTTTAACACTGAATAAACACGCAGAAATACATTCTCTCTCATCCACACAAACACACCAAAACAATTCTTGATGTGTTTTAAGCACACACACAGAAACTGAGGCTAGTTGTGTGACAAAACAAAACACCCCACCAAACCAGAGGACACAACGGATTTAGCAACCACACAAATGCCTCCTGTATATCTGCACATTTTCCTCAATGCCTCAAAAAAAAAAAAAAAAAAAAAAAAAAAAAAAAAACTTCCACCCTCACTGAAGTTCAATCCTTCATAAATCCTAGTGTACGAAAAAGATTCATATGAAACCGGCATGATTAAGACTTTTCTTAGACATTCTTTGCCCTAGTGTGAAACTGGAGAAGAAGTGTGACTCAAAAAGGACATTTAAACTCCACCCAAAGTTCTTAGAACCACATGAGAAGATCATTTAAGACCCAATAAAAAAAGACAATGAACAAGGATGATTTCACATACTGTAAGCTGCACAACAAAAAGTAATTACCTTCTCCAAATAAATCCTGCTCGATAAAGTACAGAAAAAAATCATAGTTTTTCTGTATTGTTCAATGGCTCATTTAATGTCTGCATTTCTGGTTTAAGTAATACCCAAAACTTTTGTTGCAGATTTGGAAATACATGAGGATGAGTGAATAATTTCAGAATAGTCATTTTTGGGTAAACCTTTCCTTTAATACTAACAAAAGCTAAACAGTTCTGTGTCAACGGCAGAGCAGGGTCATGTGATCATGAGTTTTATTTTCAGAGATTGAGGGTCTCAATGTACGCAGAATCATGGAAGAGCGGTTAATAGATTTGCTGCATGAAGCATCTACTGTACCTGCTCATTTCTGAAGATATAACTGCACTGTAGTTATTGTACTGATGGTTACATTAATATACAGGACCATAGTTCATAAATATCAGAATTCATGAAAAAAGCATGAAAAATAAATATAGAGTGATGTAGCCATACGAAACAAATGCTGTTCAGGCAGCGTGTCAAGATTACCTTACTATCCATTTGGTGATCTTTCCCTTGAGCTCAGTACTCTTGAATATAACGCAGCTGTCATCCTAATAAATTACGACACGGGCAAGTCAGAGGATATTTGCGCCTGTGATTGATCAGCCTTTGCACATTCTCCATCTTTACACAATGTGAGGGGAATGAGATAGTGTGTGACATTCCACCTGTGTCGTCTGTGGTCAGATGCCAAGAGGTGAAGTCAGTCAGCGTGGCTTTCATCCTTCACCATGATGCCCATGTACCTATCAGAGACAGAGATTATGTACTAGAGATTTAAAAATGAATAAATAAAGCTGCAATAAAATGCCCTCACGTTTCCAGCTTGTTCCAGACCTTGGGAACACTGATGATAGACGCTGATGATAGTTGAGAAAAAAGAAAATATAGAGAAGTCTATAATGAGAGCAAAATTACCTATTAGTCAGAAAATCACAGGTGGGAATAGAGCTAATGGCCTGATGCACATCCATAGCCGATATCTCTCTCGGAGTTCTGTGGAGACAAGAAGAGAGGGATGAAACAAGGATGGGAAAGATAGAGAAAACTCACGGCACATTTGCTATCTTGGTATAATGGGTTATTGAACTTTGAGCATTAACCCTCTGGGGACCAGAGTGTTTTTGGGGCCCTTGGGATGTTTTGACATGCACTGACATTTGTGCTTTTTTCAGTTATTTATAAACATGTTAATGGCAAAGGTGTAAATTCACTCTATATAGCACAAACTTGGCTACCATGATGAGTGAGCAACATGTATGTACATGTTTGTATTTTTAATAGAATAATGTTTATGCGTGGTTATTGAAAAAGATAAAAATGAAAGTTGCTGAAATAAGACCACAAAACACATATTGATTATTTCTTCACAAGACTTTTGAAAATTGTATCACATAGCCTAGAATATTTGCTCCAAAACTATGTGAGAATCATCCTGACTACTCATTCAGATAAGTCAATAAAGTCTTTTACATTTTTAATGACGTGTTTTGTTTGAGAAAGCTTTATGCAGGAGGCGTGGTCTCTCATTAATATGTGTGGAATTTCACACCTGAGAAAGACAAAGACCCTCCCCATAATGGCCCTATTAGGTGCTATCAGGCCATATCATTACAGGAGCCTTGCACAAAGAATGAGGAGATTTAAAAAAGAATGGCTTTTAGATTGTTTGGATTTATATAAGGAAAATACAGGGTGCATAAGTCTGGACAGTTCTATCACACACCCTTCACCATATAGTCATGGTTTTATTTCAGTTCAAAGTTCAAAGTTAGAGTTGGAAACATCTTGAAAAGAAAATTGTCTTTCTCCATAAATGTCTTAGTTTGATCATACATATTTTAAAGTTGAGGATTCATTATTTTGATATAGCTTGAACAAACACTATAACATCTTAGTTGATTAGTTTATTGACAAAACATACTATATATTTAACATATGAGCAGAAACTCCTAAAAAAAGCTTATTTGATGTCTATTTTAGAGTAAAAACTTTATCCAAAACGAGTCAACGAAATGTTATTTAGTCTGTAACAGTGCGTATCTGTGCGTTCATTCATTCATTCATTCATTCATTCTCACACACACACACACACACACACACACACACACACACACACACACACACACACACACACACACACACACACACACACACACACACACACACACACACACACACACACACACACACACACACACACACGTTGTGTTTTCATGTTTTATGGGGACTTTCCATAGACATAATGATTTTTATACTGTACAGACTGTATAGACGGTTTCATCGAACGCACGCGCGTTGCCGGGGTTACGCGCTGGCCCGAAGTTAACTTCCGGTCTGTGTTTGTTAACCGGTAATATCATAATATCATTCTCTGGTAATATGGCGCCGACTACAAACGCAGTGAAAATTAAGGTGATGAGTAGACTGAAGTTGGGCTCAGGTTGTTGTGTTGTGGGATGCAACCTGAGCAGGGATGTAGTGGAGGCTAAACGCACGTAAACTCCGTTTACACACCTCCCAATATTCGGAAATAGCGTTTACCCACCTCCAAAGTGCGTTTATCCACCTCTAAATTGCGTTTATCCTCCTCTAAATAGCTATAAATTAAGCTTATGTCGTTTTAGTTTTATATTGTTCATTACTAGTTTCATAGGTTGTTAAACCTAAGACGAACTCTTTCATATTGCGCTGCATTACTGTCAGTGTTGTTGACTTTTACTGACGGTAAGGTTGCGCTGTTGACGCTCGCGCAGCCTCTCGAGGAGAAATCTACACAAATGAGCGCACACACACACTCAGTTAACAATATACTGCCTATAAAAAATCTAAATGTGGAGTTTTTATATTT